GGCGGGTCGGGGGGCGGCCGGCGGCGGCCGGGGCCGGAACGATGACTCTGGAGTCCATGATGGCGTGTTGCCTGAGCGACGAGGTGAAGGAGTCTAAGCGCATCAACGCGGAGATCGAGAAGCAGCTGCGGCGAGACAAGCGCGACGCCCGGCGCGAGCTCAAGCTGCTGCTGCTGGGTGAGTGGGGCCCGGATCCCGCGGGGTCGGCCGTCCAGGCATCCCGCAGTCCTCCGTGATCGCGCTGTGCGCCCGGCCGCTGTCCCGCACCCGTCCGGGGCAGTCCTGCCGGAGCTGTCCGGGTTGGCGCCGAGCGCTGCAGGTCAGGCAGATCCCTCCGCAGCCGGCCCCGGCCGTGCGGACCCGGATGCCTGCTCCCTTGGGGCACAGCCCCGACACGCTGTGGTCCGGCCGTGGTGTCCGTGCCCCCTCTGGAGCCCTCTCCCGGGCCCTCTCTGCGGCCCGTCCTCGCCTGCAGGGTCCAGGTCGGGGCTCTGGAGCCCTTCGTTGCACTTCCTGCCCGTGCCGTCCAGATTGGGCCCCGGGTGCTGTGAGCTCAGCCCCTGCTCCGCCGTGCAGGTCGAGTCTGCGTCCCTTCTGGGCCGCGAGCTGCCCTGTGCCTTGGCTCCCAGGACCTGTGGGGGTCTGCCCTCCGCCCCCCACGGCTCCCCCGCACCTCCTCAGGGACCAGACTCGTTCCCCATCACTTCCCAGCCCCCGGGTCTGCTCCCTATGTGCGATCCTGTTCACTGCTTGCAGCGGCCCCCCCAACCTCTTGAGTGTCACTGCTCTCTGTCCCCTCCTTCTGCAGGCAAACCAAGTTCCTCCGGAGTGGAGAACACTTTCTCCTCCTCCTGGGTTTCCATTTTTCCAGGGTGGGGCTGGTAGACCAAGGAGGCGCAGGTTGTCAGAATGGCCTGCTGCCCGGCCTCCCGAGCTCTGTCCATCCGCAGGGGCCTGGTGGAGCCATGTGGTCCCCGAGGCTGACTTGTAGCCTGAGCACCCGCCTCAGCTGTCAGGAGTGTTGTCACCCCAAATAAGGGCCAGGAAGGACTGTCCCCTGCTGTGGTTTACATGCAAACAGAAGCCCTGCCCTGCCCGCAGCCCCTGCCCCTTTGCCCCACTCTAGAAGCCAGGGGAAGAAGGGGAGGCCGTGCTCTGGCCCTGAGGCGGACTTCCTGGGTGGGAGGGATGAAGGGCTGCCTGGAAGGGCCTGGGGGCGGAGGGGCAGGCTGGTGTTGGTGGCAGGAAGCGCATTGCCTGTCTTATTTGCTGCAGGTCCTACGCGTCTCCCGGGGCCCAGCGTGGAGAGGCGCAGTGGACAGACTACCTTCCTGTTTGTTTTTCTCAGATGTGTTGCGATTCATCTAAAGGCTCTAAGACAGTCACGCAGGAGGGGTGACCTTGCAGCTTAGGGGTTTGAGGTGGGCCCAGAGTGTGCCTGTCTCCAGTACAGGGGGGCCCGGCTGGCTTTGGCAGCCAGGGGGAGACTTTCTCCCGGGCACGGGGAGTTAGCAGTCAGCGGCATCCGAGGATGGTACCAGATGGCCTTGCACTGCGGCTGTGTGGCCTCCAGGCGCCCATCCTCTGCCCTGTGCACCCAGGCTGTGCTGAGCTTGAGGTTGACAGGGGTTCAAGGTCATGGTCAGGCTCCCGTGTCTGCAGCCCTGCTGAGTGGCTGGAGTGGAGAGGCTGGAGCCAGCGTGGAAGCCGTGTGGTCTTTGCCACTTGCTGCCCACCTGTGGCTGCGGGGCACCTGTGTCTGCATCTGCAGCACCCCCCACCCCCACCGTGTAAAGCAGGGATCTCTCTCCTATAAAGCGCCTGTTTGGGAGGCTGGGCTCACAGTATGGCAGGGCCGGGCAGGCCAGACAGCGGGGTGACCTGTGTGACCCGGGAGGACAGGTGTGTGTGCTGTAAATGCTACGTGGGGTCCAGGGATGTGCTGGGGGTGGGTTGCGGGGCTTCGCAGAGGAGCTGATGTTGGCCTGGGCCCTGAGGTGGCAGGGTCTGAAGACACCTTTGGACCAGTGGAGGCTCCGAAAACTTCCATGTGCACGGCCATTGGTGGCAGGTTGAGGACAGTGAGCTCCCCCTTGGGGAGCATTGTTGTGACCCGGCTACAGAGCGGGGCTCGTTACTGAGCAGGCTGTGTCCCTGCTGTAGGGACTTCTTGCAGTCCCCATCCGGCTTCCCTGAGCGAGTGCTGTCCCTCTTTGCTGGACCAGCAGGGCTGAGATGTTTGTTTTCCCCTGAACTGTTCCCACCCTGTTGTATAGCAGCGGGAGCCCCGACCCTCTTGTCCTGGGACTTCCTTGTGAGGGTGCCATCGATGTGCTCGTTTCTCTCTTGTGCGTGGGGGCAGCTGAGGGCGCTGCGTGATTGCACGCTTGTGAGCGGGTGAGAGGTTCTGGGGCGCACCTTGCCCATCCGCTGTCTGGCTGTGCGCACGCGCTGGTCTGGTCGTCCAAGTAGGAGGTTCAGCGCCCCTCATCAAGCGGGGCCTCCCCAGGGTGGTCTCTGTGGGGCATCCCTGGCCTCCACTGGCTCCCAGCCCGGAGCTCCCAGTTGTGGGGGCAGATCACCCCTGGCTGAGACTTCTTGCCGCAGAGTGAGACAGGACGTGAAGCGCTAGCTGGGCAGCTGGGTGTAACGAGTGTGGGTGCTCGTGGGTAGGGGGCAGTGGTTTTGTTAGGGGTCCCAACCCGTGTGCGCGTGTGGGTGAGTATATAAACATCTTGGGGTTCACCTGGGGTACTATCCCAGGCTCACCCTGTCAAACAGTCTTGCTGGTGCTGGGTCGTGGGGCTGCAGCTGGTGACCGGGGGTCCCCTGCCGCCGCCGCCATGGGAGTGCCCGAGGGCCGTGGGCTGAGAGCGCTGCTCCAGTACGGAGCACTTGGCTCTGGGTCCCCATGGGCACACTGGGCTGTGCCGCGGGCCACGCGGGCCCTAGTGAGGCTGTGGGCCCCCCTCCCCACAGGCAGGCTGCGTTCGGACAGCGGGGGGCTTGCTGGGAGTGCCGGGTCCTGCAGGCCCTGTGCCGCGAGCGAGGCTGAGCGGCCAGCGCAGAGCTTTCTAAATAAAGCAGGGCGGTTTGCTCCGCCGGCTTCCTGTCCGCCCGCTACCCGCCGGCCACCCGGCAGCCAAAGGCTGGATCCGGCCCTGGGAGGCTGGGCGTGCCCCGGGCGCTGAGGGGTTCAGAGGTGGCTGCTGGCTCCTGGAAGGGCTCCTGCATGCCCCACTGTGCCCCCACGGCCGGTGGGAGGCGGGGGGGGGGGTCCTAAACGGCCACGGAGGGGCCTCCCCAGGGTGTGGCCTTTACTGCAGGTTCAGTTGTCATCCGCCCTGGGCTGCTTCCTCAGACGCAGGCCTGAGAGCGCAGTAGAGACTGTTGCAGAGCTTGGTGCTCCAGACCTCTCAGCTGTCCCGGAGGCCGGGACGCCGTGCCCGCCCTGCAGAGCCTTTGGCCCAGCCCCTGAGCTGATTCAGGCGGAGGCCGCTCCTGCCTGGAAGGGTCAGGCCTGTCCCGGAGTCCAGGTGGCTGGGGCGAGGCCGCGGCCCCTAAGCTCCCAGTGCACAGGTCACAGGTCCCTGAGGCCTTTCCTGCCTCCCGCTGTCGCCCGCAGATGGAGGAAGTGCCTGCACTGGGTGCTGAATTTCACCACGATGTCCTGTGCCTTGGGGACCAGGCCACCCAGAGGCACTGTGGGGGAGAGGAATTCTACTTCCAGGAGTGTGGCCTGTCCACAGGCACCTGCCCCAGGCAGACCTGGGGCCCCTCAGGGCTCTTGTCCCCGTCCTGTAGCCAGGCAGGTGGCAGTCAGGGGCTCCTCCGGGTCCTCAGCAGGGTCCTGGTCTCCATTCCAGTTGGGCACAGTCCCCAGCCAGGGTGCCTTCGTGTAGGGCTGCCATGCGGTGGTCTGGGGCCTTGCCCCTGGGGCTGTCCTGCCTGCCTGCTGGCATCTGCCGCCTCTGTAGTCTGGAGCTGGCTGGTCACCTGGGCCTGGCTGTGTCCCCATAGCCAGCCAGGGGACAGCCCTGAGTCTGTTCAGAGCGTCCAGCCCCCGTGGGTCCTCGGGCATCCTCAGACAGGGCGCAGCGTGGGGGCTGAGGTTCAGATTGTTGCTGGTGGCTGAGTGATGTCAGGTCTGTGCCTCAGTTTCCCCAAGGAGGAGACCTGTGAGCTGGGGCTGACGGCCAGCCCGGGGCGAGCTCTCACAGGCACGCGTTGGCTCACAGCAGCCTGCACGTTGGGGACACTGCGGCAGGTTCATTCTCTGGGTCTCCAGTGTGCTAGCCTTGGTTTCTAGCAAGGGAAGGTGGCCTTGGGGGAGGCCTGTAGGGGTGGGGTGTCCCCTGCAGAAGGCTGTAGGACCTCCCCCTTTGTGTCCTGGCCAAGAAGACACAATGACCTCGTCCTGCCTTGCACGCTGCCGTGATGTGCTGCTTCCACTCGAGGCCCAGGGTGGTGAGGTGCCCGACCCAGACCAGAACTTCGGGCCCTGAGCCCCAGAAGACCTGGCCCCACAGCTGCCGGCCTGGGAGGGGTTGGGCCCCCACCCACGGTCGGGTCAGGGCTGAGCTGTGGTGGCTGGAGCCACCCACCAGGTCCCAGAGTCGCTGGACCCCAGCCTGCGGGGGTGGAAGTCGCCAAAAGCTGTGGGGCGAGTGATGGCAGCCTGGCGTCACTGGGAGGCCAGCAGACCGCCCCCGTGTGGGTCACTGCTCCTGACCCTGATGCGCGTGTGAGGTCAGGCCCATGTGCACCTCCTGATGTTCCTTGAGGCCTGGGGCCGGTGGAGGGGACCGTGTCCCTGTGGGGCCTGCGTGGGACGGGGAGAGACAGATGGCCTGGGCCGGTGGGAAGAGGCCGAGTGGGTTCCGGCCCTGCCCTTAGCGACTGTGTGACCTCAGGGAGGCCATGTGACTGCTCCTCAGTTTCCCTGCCTGCCAAATGAATGGCAGTGGCCATGATAGTCACCTCCTGGGGTTCTGCCGGTGGAGAGGGGTGGCCCCTCACCGTGGCAGGGGCTGTGCAGTGCCCTCTGGCCTCGCGCCTTTAGGCAGTGCGAGGCTTCCTGTGGCGTCGGTGCCCCGTCACCCTGTTGCGTGGTGGTAAGTCCCCAGTCGCAGGCCGGGCCCTGCCAGCGGTGACGCTGAGTGCCTCTGGGCTCCCGGGCCCGGCAGGCCCACGGAGGGGGCTTCCGCTGGGGTCTGTTGGGAGCACCCGGCCCTGCTCCTGAGGAGCCCCAGGTGGCAACATGCGTCGGGCTGGCCCCTGGGTTCGCAGAAAGCGGGTGTGTGGGGCCAGGGCCAGGGGGCCCTGCCTGGGGACGGGGCCCCACTTCCCAGCAGGTGCTGGCCTTGGATTTCTGTGGGGTGGGGGCTCCGGTAGGAGCGCTGGGGTCACCTGTCTTACGTCATGACCCAACCGGGCCCTGGAGGTGTCCTGAGACCACTCCCAGGCCACAGGGCAGCATGTGCTGCCCAGGTCCTTGCCCCCTCCCTGACCCTGGCTACCACCTCACCTCCCCCTTCTGAGATCCTGTCACGCGGGTGCTGTCACCGAGCACTCCAGGCTGCGTGGCTTCTAAGTATGCGGGGACACTGGTCCCGTGTGGGAGGCCGGAGTGAGGCGCTCGGCCTGGGCTTGGTGTCCAGGGACCTCGCCTGGTGCAGGTGTCACGGGCGCCTCTCTCTGCTTCCTCACGGGGCGGAAGGGGCAGAGCGATCTCTGGGGCCACCTTGGGGCGGTGACCCCACTCGGGCTCCTTCCTCTGACTGCAGCGCCTCCAGACACCCTGCCCCTCAGGCTGGGCCTGCGGGGAGGATCTTGGCACACAGATTTGGGGTACCCAGAGGTGTGGGCAGCCCATGCCAAGCTCTGTAACCGTCATGGGCATTCCACATTTCAGTCTGTCCGTCTCCCGGCTATGCACCGTCAAGGGGCAGGAGCCACCCTCCATCACCACTGCCTGCGGAGAGCCCTGGAGCTGTGGCTGTGCTGGCCGCTGGGAAACCCGCTGCCTGGGCGTCCGTGGCAGGCGCAGAGGACGGAGCAGCCCGCCGCGGCAGACGGAGGAGCCGAGGGGCTGTGGCAGGAGGCCGAGGCTGAGTCCAGAGCGAGGCCCAACCTCAGTGTCCCCCACATTTCCTCGTGAGGCCTGGGCTGGCCGGGCGCCTGGTGGGGATTCTGGAGCCGGGCTGAGCCGGGCATGTGGGGCCGGACGTTCAGCTGGACCCCTAGGAGGGGGACCCCACGCAGACGAGGTCCCAGGCAGGACTCAGGCTCTGGAGATGTGGAGTGTGGTGCTGGGTCTCCTGGGCCTGTGCCCAGCCTCTAGGGTGACGGGATGTGACAGGGGCTGTGTTGGTGCTCGGAGACGGGTGGCATGGGCGGAAGGTTCAGCCAGGGCATCTATGACAGCAAGCGTGTCGCCCAGAGCTGCGCCGGTGCCTGGCACCAGCTGCTTCGTGGTGGCCAGGTGCCCTGAGGTGGCCAGAAGCCCCAACCAGCTGGACCTGGCTCCTTCTGGCCCTGCCTCCTGCTGCGACCTCTGCTGGCCTCTGTCACTGTTGGCCCGGGCACACGGAGAGGCGCCGTGGCCCGGGCTGCCCCTCCTCCCTGGCCCCGAGCAGCGCTGGTTCCAGGTGTCCAGGGCAGCCGGTCACTGTGTCCCCAAGCACATGCCCGCTGCACCCTCTCAGCTGCACGGCAGGCCCCGGCTGTCAGTGGCATGGTGTGGGCAGGGGCTTGCAGAGTGCCCCTGTGTGCGTGTGGGTGTGCGCCCCCCGTCAGTGCGCTTAGAACCAACGGAGAGCCCTGTGAGGGCCTTGGTGAGCCATTGTGGTGACGGCTCTCTGCTTTATTAGATAAAACACGCATGCAGTGCGGGGCAGCTCTGCTCCGGCCTGGACAGCAGCCTGCGCCAGCTCTGTCTTCACAGTGCCCTTGGTGCGCCGAGTTGCGTCTGTCCAAGTCAGAGCCGCGGGTTTCGTGGCCCATGGAGCCCGAACGTGGTGTGGGAGTGGCCCTGAGCCCAGGGCCCATGGTGCTTGCTGCACGCAGCCTGGCACCCGGTCTGGCAGTGAGCTGTACGTCTCCGCTCTCCCCTGATGAGACGCTGCCTCGAGCGGCATGCGAGAGCTTTTTAAAATAGCGTCTTGTCGCTAGTGTGCAATCCTGACCCCAGGCAGTGCTGGCCCATGGCAGGACATCTGTGGCTGTCACCCCTGGGGCAGGTGGAGGCCAGGATGCCCCTCAGCACCCTGCAGTGGCCAGGACGGGGCCGCGGCTGCTCTAGGAACCCCCTCGGGCCGGAAGCACACGCTGCCGGGCCCAGCCACGGGAGGAGGGGTCACTTTACCCCGCGTGCCCTGCGTCCCGTCCTGGGCTGCCTGGAGTCTGTGCCAGATCTGCGGGTGAGGCAGGCATGTTTAGGACAGAGAGGTGGGCTGGGACTGCCCTGCTGGGACAGTGCGAGCCCTCCGTGCTGGACAGAGCGCGAGCACCAGAGTGCTGGGGGCTCCACTCTTCCCAGGAGATTCTGGCCCCCATAGCCCGGCTGGGCTTGGCTCGGGGCGCATTTCCTCTTGGGGCGCAGGTGAGGCCCTGGCGAGGGGATGCTGGGGCACTGCCAGCCTGGGCCGAGGCCGCCTGGGCTGGGTTGTAAGACCCCAGGCAGGGGCAGGCTCAGGTGGGCAGGGCTTAGGCAGAGGCAGGGACAGAAGGGGCAAAGGTTGGCTCTGGGAAGTACAGTGGGACGAATGGAAGGAGGTCCCGAGTCCCCCGGGGGCCCTGGGCTGTGTGCTTTGCCGAGAGCCCAAGGGGCTGTGGAGTAGGAGCCAGACTGCCGCTCCCTCGATGTGGCAGGTAACTGCGGCCACAGAAGGAGCCTCCTTGGCCTCAGAAGAGCCGCCCTTACTACCCCCGTTTCTGGGGCCCAGCAGCGCAGGGCACTTGCTGGTGTTCACTCGTACTTGGAGCTTGGAATGGCACACGCCTATCACCCCATCACTCTGGGAGGCTGAGGCAGGAAGATCACATGTTGGAGCCCAACCTGCGTGACTTGGCGAGTTAGTGAGACCCTATCTCAGAATAAAAAATAAAAAGGGCCGGGAACGGAGCTCAGCGTGAGGCCCTGGGTTTCACCTCCAGGACCTACTGGGGCAGTGAGGAGAAAGGAAGGCAGACAGACAGACAGACACTGCTTGAGACCCCAGCTAGGGTGCTGTGTTGATCTTAGCTCCTCCCCAAATAGCAGGGGTGTCCCAGTGCTCACCAGGGTGGGGTGCAGGTGCAACCCGAGGAGGTGGGGACAGGCTGGGGGCTGGGAGGAGGGAGGTGCAGGACTGTGCTGGAAGAGGTGCTGACCCCGCCTCGTATCCCGAGCCTGGGGGGCCCGACTGGAGCTGGGGCGCGGTTGCAGCTTCCCATGCCATCTGGCTTCCAGCCTGACCTCCGGTCCAGGGCTGGGGGGGCAGGGACTGGGTGCTGTTCCTCTGGTGGGCAGGTAGTGTGCGTCCCCCAGAGGGCCTTGGGCTCGGGGCGGAGGACACACAGGTATGGGGGCACTCGTAGGGCGGGTGGGCTCCAGGAAGACCCTCTGAGCGTCCCTGCCACCGCGTGCCAGATGGGAGGTGGCCTGGTGGGCTGCGTCACAAGGCCCAAGCTCAGGAGGGACGGGCTCTCGGGGACTGTGCTGTGATGGCAGTGCAGAGCAACCCGATTCGCCCACGGGCATGGGGCCGAGGAGGGTGGAGTTGGCAGGGCTGCCGGGGACCGCGGCACGCGAGGACTGCGGGGCGGCCCCACACTGACCGCCGTCCCCACCCCCAGGCACGGGCGAGAGCGGCAAGAGCACGTTCATCAAGCAGATGCGCATCATCCACGGCGCCGGCTACTCGGAGGAGGACAAGCGCGGCTTCACCAAGCTGGTCTACCAGAACATCTTCACCGCCATGCAGGCCATGGTCCGCGCCATGGACACGCTCAAGATCCTCTACCGGGACGAGCAGAACGAGGTGAGCTGGCCGGTGCCAGGACCCCGCGGCCTGCGCTTCCCTCCCTGTGCGTTTAGAGATGGGCTGAGGAGTAGCTCACACGCCATGGGTCACCTGTGCGCACTTCCCTTGTGGTTCGGTTCAGTTTGGTCTTAGTTATTTTTGCAGTCAGTACTGGAGGTGGAACCCGGGCACTTCACACTGAGCTACATTCCAAGCCCTTTTTATTTTGTTTTGAGTCAGGGTCTGCCAAAATCGCTGAGTCACCCAGACTGGGTTTGAACTTGGGATCCTCCTGCCTCAGCCTCTCAGTGTTGGGATTACACGTTTCTGAGTGGTTTCTAATATTGTCACAGAATTGTGCAGCCATCACCGCTGTCTAGTTCCAGAGCATTCCATGGTCCCAGTAGGAAGGCCCATCTGTCCCTGTGAGCAGCCGCTTCCCCCCAGCCCCGCACCTCCGAGTCCACTTCCTGTCTCTGGATTTGCCTGTCCTGGGCTTTTCCTGTCCACAACGCCCGTGCTGTGCGTCCTCTGTGTCTGGCGTCTGTCACTGAGCAAGGTGTCCTCAGGGTCCGTCCACGCTGTGGCGTGTGCCACAGCCGCACTCCCGCCCTGCCTGAGTGACGCCCCAGCCTGGGGCGACCTTGCTGCCTGCGTCCATCCATCAGTTGAAGGGACATGGGCCGTTTCCGTCTCTGGCTGCTGTGAATGTGGCCGTAAGCGGGAGTGGACATGTGTTTCCCTTTCCTCTGGTGTAGAGCTAGGAGTGGGAGTTGGCAGAGCCCTGGGAGGAGCCACCAGGCTGTCACCCCTGGCCGCAGCACCCTGTCCTGTGCCCTTGAGCTGTGCTCACGGTGGCACGTGTGCTGACCCCATCCCTTGCAGACGAGCAGCTGGCCGGCTTCTGCAGCGCCCCCTTCAGGGCTGGTGATTCGGCCCTGGAGACCTGCCGGGCTGCGCTCGGTGTGGGAGCCCGGCCCCGCCCAAACGCGGTTCACAGTGCTGCGCTCAGTCTGAGCCCCAGCCGGTCGGGCAAATTTCTGATGTGCCTGTGGCTCCGCTCTGCCTGCCACACCCGGTTCCAGGTCACCGGGGCCCTGCAGAGCCCCAGGGTCAGGCTGGGGCCAGCTGTCCCCAGGGCGGGCCTGTGGGCCTCTCGCTGCCCGCACCTCGGCTGCCCCCGCCCTGCTCTCCCCGCGGCGTCCCAGCCGTCTGCGTCCAGGTCTCCTCTGCGCTGCGCTCTCCTCCGCGTGTGGGCGCGGCAGGTGGAGGCCTGTTTGTGAGCCTTGGGCTTGGCGTTGTTTTTGCTGTCCTGGGGCTTGAACCCAGGCTCTCCTCACTGAGTTGCGTCCCCAGCACCGCCCCCTTTGAGACAGGGTCTCCCCAAGTCACTGAGTCGCCCAAGGTGGGCTGGAGCTTGGGACCCGTGGCCTCACCTCCAAGCGCTGGGTGGACAGATGTGGGCCACAGCGCCTGTCATGAACGGTCGTTGGCGTCTGCGCTGGTTACGTCCCGGGCAGGCTGCTTCCCTGGGTCTCGGAGAGGGAGTGTGTGCGGCCCGCCACAAGGCTGGAGACGGACGTTTGGCCTTTTTCAGAAAAAGCATCTGATCCCACCCCAGCTGTGTGGGGTTGGTGGGATCTGCCAGAGTTGGTGTCAGCCCGGTGTGCCGGCCCTGGTCACCCGAGGGCAGCTGACGGGGGGTTGCAGGGAAGGAGCCAGGTGCCAGGCCGCTTGGCATGGAGGCTCAGGGAGCCAGTGGGTGTCGGCCGCAGTGCTGGGCTCCATCACTCCCCCTCTGGGTTCTGTCCGGGTGTCTGTCCTGCCCCCGTGGCCCTGCTTGGGGCGGGCTCGGTGCCTCCCCGGTCGTCTGCCTTTGCTGACAGGTGGCCTGGTGCCTCCTGTGATGTGCAACTGTCACGGCTCAGGGTGGCAGGGCCCCCTCGCCGGCGTGGAGGAAATGCCGTTTGCCAGAGGAGGAGGCGCCCTGGGCAGAAGACTCGCCCTAGAGTCCAGTACTCAGGCCCAGCTTGTCCACCTGCGACCTGGGGACGGGGGCCGGCGTCCTGGCTCCCCCAGGAGGAATGGAGGGCATGGTGCTGGTGACTGCTGCCCACCCAGTGCCCCGGTGTCGCATTGCATGTGGGCCGACCCCTTCCTGTGCTTCCCACTTCCGGGCACGTGGTGGGACGAGGCCATGTCCCCAGGGCGTTCTTGTGACCCCATACCGGTTCCATCTCTGCTGAAGCCCAGCAAGGCATGGTGGCTGGCGGCGTGGCCAGGCCTCTGCAAGTTCTGCTCCCCGCTGCCCGCAGGCCAACGCGCTGCTCATCCGGGAGGTGGACGTGGAGAAGGTGACGACGTTTGAGCACCAGTACGTCAGCGCCATCAAGACGCTGTGGAACGACCCGGGCATCCAGGAGTGCTACGACCGGCGGCGCGAGTACCAGCTCTCGGACTCCGCCAAGTAGTGAGTGCGGTGGCCCCGTCCCTGCGGGTCCCCCCAGCCCACCACTGACCGGGGCTCTGCGGGGCCGCTGCCTCCCTCCCCGCTGTGACCCAGCGGCAGCCCCTGGCCTGCGGGGGCAGTGCGTGGCTTGTGCTGGCCGAAAAACGCGGCGGGGGCAGTGGAATGAATGGAGGTGGCCCTGCCCTGCCCACGGCCTTCCTCCTGCCTCCGTGTGCCCCACCCGAGGAGTGAGGGCTCCTGGCCTCCCGCCCCGGCTTGGCGCCGTGGTGACGGCCCGCTGTCTCGCAGCTACCTGACGGACGTGGACCGCATCGCCACCTCAGGCTACCTGCCCACGCAGCAGGACGTGCTGCGGGTGCGCGTGCCCACCACGGGCATCATCGAGTACCCCTTCGACCTGGAGAACATCATCTTCAGGTACCTGCAGGCGACGGGGGCCCACTGGCTGCCCACACCCCGCACAGCGCTCTGGCTGCTGTGTGCGCGGCTGGGGACACAGGGCTCTGCCTGCTGGCCCAGGGTCCGGGTCTGAGGTCCGGGGGGACAGGGCTGGCTCTGCCCCCGTCTGCCCGCCATCCGATGGTGGCCCAACCCGCGGTGTCCTTGACGCGTAGAAGCTCAGCCCGTCTCTCCTCCGTGGTCACACGCGTGTGCCCTGTGTCCTGTCTGCACGCAGCCCGCCCCTCTTAGAAGGGCGCCAGTCCTGGGAGGGCCTCTCCGCCTGTGCACTGCCACGGCTCGGCCCCGGGTCGGCCCCGTCATCACCCTCCTGTCCCTCTAGGGTGGCCTGGCGGCACATCCCGCTCCGTGGGGCGTCTCCTTACACAGGAAACAGCCCCGATTGGGAAGAGAACGTCCCTGCGGACCAGCGTGTGTCCCCCGCGCCGTCTTAGGAGTCACCCTCCCACTGCCCCTGGTTCCTTTCAGAGCCGCGTGCTGGTTTTGCTGGCATAGGCTGCCCCCTTGTCTGGCACCGAGGTGGCCGGCTATGCCCTCCACAGCTGTGGGGGTGACACCCCTGTGCCAGGACCCCGCTGCCCACCGGGGCCCCACAAGCAGTGTCGGCGCCAGCGTCCCGTCTCTGATCTGTGCATCGCAGTGACAGACGCCTGCGCCCGGGTCCCCAGTGCCAGGAAGTTGTTCTGTCCCCGTGCCCCTTGGGTGCTCCTGGGTGGCAGCTGTCCCAGTCCACCGGGAGTCTGTGCCCCAGCTGCTGACACCTCCAGCCCAGGGCTGGGCTCTGTAGCACTTCCAAGAGTTCGCGGGACCGGGGATGTTACCCCCCGCCGCGGATCGAGGCCGTGGGAGTGAACAGCGTCTGTCCCCAGCGTGGGACTCAAAGGGCAGCAACCGTGTGTGTTGCATCAGTGTGGCAGCAGGCGTCACGGATCGCCTGGTGTGATTTCCAGCCGGCGGCAGGGCGTACGCGGGAGCTCATGGCCGTGGGGAGCCCTGCTCAGGTGGACCTGGGGCCAGTGGGGGAGCTCATGTGGCTCCCGCAAGGCAGCTCCTGGTGCCGCAGGGCCCTGGCCACAGCTGGCCGGAGCGGGCATGTCGGGGTGCCACGGCAGCGCGGCTGGGCTGGGGCTCGGGTCTGACGCCAGCTCCTTCCAGGATGGTGGACGTGGGCGGGCAGAGGTCTGAGCGCCGGAAGTGGATACACTGCTTTGAGAACGTGACATCCATCATGTTCTTGGTGGCCCTCAGCGAGTACGACCAGGTCCTCGTGGAGTCGGATAACGAGGTACTGAGGGCCCGACCGGGAGTGGGGCGGGTGGGGGCCGCGGCCTTGCGGCCTTTGCCGACCTGGTGCCTCCCGCAGAACCGCATGGAGGAGAGCAAGGCGCTGTTCCGGACCATCATCACCTACCCCTGGTTCCAGAACTCCTCCGTCATCCTCTTCCTCAACAAGAAGGACCTGCTGGAGGACAAGATCCTCTGCTCCCACCTGGTGGACTACTTCCCCGAGTTCGACGGTGAGCGCGTACCCGCGGCACCCGCGGCCCTGGACCCGGGGCCGAGGGCTGTGGGGTCCCACGCCGGGTGGCCTGGGGACCCCTGTGGGTGCTCTGGTTAGGCTCGGGCGAGAAGGGACCAGGGACCCGGTGCGATGAGGCCGGAAAGGAGGGGCGGCATGAGGGGCGGAGCGGCCCCTGGCTGGGGGCGGGGCGGGGTCACGAGCGCCCCTCACCGCAGGCCCGCAGCGGGACGCGCAGGCTGCGCGCGAATTCATCCTGAAGATGTTCGTGGACCTGAACCCCGACAGCGACAAGATCATCTACTCGCACTTCACGTGCGCCACCGACACCGAGAACATCCGCTTCGTGTTCGCGGCCGTCAAGGACACCATCCTGCAGCTGAACCTGAAGGAGTACAACCTGGTGTGACCGGCGCGCTCCGCCGTGCAGAGCAGGAGCAGGGGCAGCTTCTCCCCACCCGCGCCTCCCTCGGGCAGCGGCCGCCTTGACTTGGGGCTCGACTTTTTTTTTTCTAAAAAAAAATGAGAAAAACAAAAGAAAAAAATGATACAGCTGAGATGCCAGTGTGCCCGTGCCCAGGACACTGCCCCTGTCCCCGTCGCTCTGCCTGCGTCGGGGCGCGGTGCAGGCCTGGAGCCGGACTGCCTCGTCCTCCTGTTAAGTTATTGTGCCGGCAGCCCCGCGGCCCCCTCTGGACTCCAAGAAGTGGGGGTGGCGGCACCGGGCTGCCCACCCTGGGAAGTGCCTAATTTTTTTTTTTCTTTTTTGAGGAAAAGAGTAAAACAAATTCACCTGGCTTCGTGGGTCTCAGAGACCCCCCCCCCCAAGCCCATTACGGTGCCCGAGTTGCTGTGCCCACTGTCCCTTTAGGGGGCTCCTGAGCCCCCAAGCCTGGGTCCCACGCAAGCCAACCCAGAGAGCCCCAGCCAGGGTGGCTCCGGCAACCTGCGGGGACAGTGGGCACCAAAGGACTGTCCCAGCCGCGCGGTTCTGGGACTCCGGGAGATCGCAGCCTCTGTGTTCCTTTTTTTAACACAATTTTTTTTATTTCTGGGTGTGACCGGTGTGGCACCCGTGGTTGTGGGGTGGGGACGTTTTCAGGTTATTCTCAGGTCTGTCCCCGAGAGGCGGAGAGAGCCAGGACCCTGCTGGTGGCTCCTCAAGCATGTCACGGCCCGGCGCGTGCCCCTGCTGAGCCGCAGAGCCAGGAGCCGGCACCTGCACTTTGGCTGAGGGACGCAGTGGCGCGGCGAGGGGCCGGAGCTGGCCGGGCTGCGCACCGAGCAGACGGAGGGCCCCGCCCTGGGCGCGGAGGCCGGGCGCCTGGGACCCGGCGGAGGGGCCTTCCCTTCTGTCGTCCACTGGACACGACACTACATAGCTTTGTTTTTTTTTTTTTTTTTTTTTTGCACACTTGTACTGGGAACAGATTGCCAGCGATTCCTTTGACCGGCGTCTCTGTGCCCACCCTGTGCCCTCCCCTCGGCCCGGAGGGGAGAGGCGGGGACGGGAGGCATTGGAAGGGAGGGGGCCTCTGTCCCTGCGACCAGCCCGGGGACCGCGTCCTCACGCAGGCGCCTCCTGTGCCCGCAGGGGCCCTTGCGCCGTGTGCCCACCAGGGGTTCTGTGCCATACCGTCCCTCTTGGGGCCGGAGCGGGGCGCGCAGAGCCGTGTCCACACAGCCCAGCATCTCGCCGTCGCAGAAGGGAAGGGCACTTGCGGCTGTGGCCCCGAGCCAGCAGTGTTAGGCCTTCGGGGGGCCCGCCTGGTGGAGAGGCCCGCCGTGCCAAGCGCCTGGGAGCGCGGGCGTCCTGGGAGAGCCCAGACCGTCGTCCTCGAAGCAGTGCCAACCCTGGGCCCGCTGCCCTCTGACCACATCTGGCCCCGGGTCCGCGGCCCGGCCACAGGGAGCCCGAGCTCCGGGGCTCTCCCCGGACGTCCCGCGCCAGCGCTGGCACCCGAGGCCGGCCAGCCAGAAACGTGCCCTGGTCGCGCTTGTATATTACACAGTCCTGACTTCAGATAACCTAAACCTTCACCTATTTAAGAAAGAATATTCTCTAAGACGTTTTTAAACCTCTCATCGTTGGAGACGCATGTGCCGAGTGGTGGGTGACAGGGAGGCGTTGAAGTGCAGTGGCTTCAGCCCCCCCCCCGGGGGGACGCGTGTCTGCATGGCAGGCCGGGTCCTGACCCGAAAATCCACAGGTCCCTGAGGGAAATCGACTTTTCGTATCTTTCTCTTGAAATGAACTGTTTTAAATTGGAATAAATTTTGTTCCTAAATGTGCCTCTCTCAGGTTTATGTCCTGATGCCGGGAGGGGTGGGGATGGAAGCCGGGCCTGTCACCCGGTGGGTCCCCTGCTGCCACCTGGGGCCTGATCTGAACCCATCGGACGTGGCCACCACTGCACAGTCGTCCTGCATGCTGCCAGCCTTGAGCTCATGGCCCTAGAAAGTGTCCCCCGGAAGCCCTGACTCCTGTCCCCTCCCTAGCCCAGCACCACCGTCCTTTTCTGTCTTGAGTCTGGTGATGCTCGGCTGTCCTGGGATGGGGACCCTGCCGTGCCTGTCCTGTATCTGGCTCAGTTCTCTGAGCAGCACAGCCTCAAGATCTATCCATAGTGAAGCAGGGTTAGAATCTGCTTCCTTTTCACGGCTGTGATACTCCAGTGTGTGAACGGACCGGGCTGTGTGCACCTACTCGTCCATCTGTGTACATTTGGGTGGTTCCACCTCTAGCCCGCTGGGAGCCACGCTCATTGCGGACGCACAGGCATCCCCTCAGACCCCCGGCTTTGGTTCTTTCGGGTCCGCGCCCCGCAGTGGAATCGAGAGATCACACAGTAGTCCTGCGCTCGCCGTCTGAAGGCCCCACCACGCCCCCTTTCCACAGCAGCGGCACCCTGTGACCCGCCCCTCAGGTGAGCACAGGGTTCCAGGTCCTTCCTGCCCTCCCTCAGGTGTATGTGGTGTGACTGGAAAAAATAGTGACTGAATTCAGATCTGCGACGGTAAAAGCCGCACTGCCGTGAGTCCCCCAAGCCCGCCCCGTCCCGACACGCTTAGCCCAGCGCCCTTCCCGCGCTCCGCAGTGGGTCTGAGTGTCTTTAGTTGCACTTTCCTGTCCTGAATGGATCTAAGTCGTTCACCTTTCACGGTCATTTTTACTTTGGGGAGGGGCCGGAAGTCGCAACACGGTGCCAGGTCCGGGGACTAAGGTGGATGACACCCGCACGCTGCTTTTCTATTAGATGGCGCTAGGTGGCAGCGTTTCCACAGTTTACATCACACCTTGTAAAAACTGGAGAAAGAGGGCTCCGGAGCTAGTGCAGAAATGGCCAGGACCGTGCGGTCAGTGTGTCTGAGCGAGGGGGAGGATCTTGAGTTCGTGGCAATGTGTCTTTTCTACGGTATATTTAAGAAATGTTCAGTATTTTCGTTTTGATCACATCTTATGTTGTCCATTGGTCAGAGAGACCTCAAGGGCCCACTCTGTGCCAGGCTGTGTCCCAGTTGCTGCAGACCTGTGCTTGATGGGCGTGCACTGCCATGACCTCTGGGAGAGGAAAATAGGGCCTGCATGCTGTGCAGGATGGGGCACTGGGGTGTTTCAAGGCTGACCTCTTGGGAATGGCCTTTGAGGGAGATGAGAAGGGAAAGAGACATTGTGTACTGAGGGACGGAGTCGCAGGCGGAGGGCACAGCCATGCAAAGGCCCTGGGGTGCAATGGAGTCGGCATGTTGCAGGAGTCCCAAAGAGCCTGGTGTCTGAAGCAGAGGGAAGGAGCACGGGGCAGAGAGGGAGCAGGAGTAGCGCGGAGGGTCTGGGCCGCAGTGCGGTGTCCTGCAGGCTGCAGGAGGGCTTGGGCCCGGGGAGGTGGGAGCTGTGGAGAACTGAGGGCAGAGGAGGGCGGGACCTGACTTGGAGTTCAGGGCGCCCCCTGGTGGGCGCTGCGGGGAGGACAGGCGGCGGGGGATGAGGGTGGGAGCTGGGAGACGAGAAAGTGAGGGGGTGAACCAGGCTAAAGAGGCAGAGCGGAAGAGTCAGACTGGGGAGTGGAGAGCGATGGGGAGAAGCAAGGCGGAAATGGGGTTGCAGGGGGTGTCGTGCCCCGTGATGTCCAGCAGGTGTCGCCTAAGGCAGCTCTTGGCCTGATCAACGGCCCAGAACCCGTACACCTGCACATACTCTGGGAGGGCTGGGGCGGTGTGTGTGTGTGGGGGGGGGGCCTTGGGCTGCTGTGAATGTAGGCGTGTGCGTGTCCGTGTGCGTCCCTGTTCCCAATTCTTCTGGACACGCACTTGGCCGGGGACTGCCCAGAAGTTATATATAATTTTTAGGGTTTCTGGATTCCATTGAAATCTAAAGAAAAACAAGGAATTAGCTAGGGGATATAGCTCAGTGGTAGAACGTTTGCTTAGCGTGCAAGAGGCCCTGACTCCTAGCACTGAATTAAAAATGATGGAAAGAAAAGCCAAGTAAGGAAGTAAAGACAAAACATTATAGCCAGGACTCGCAGTACATCCCTGTAATCTCAGCTACTCTAGAGGCTGAAGCAGGAGGGTTGCAAGTTATAGGCCAGCCTGGGCAACTTAGTGAATTAGTGACTTTATCTCAAAATTGTAAAAGGGCTAGGGATGTAGTTCAGTGTGAAGGACCTGAAATAAATAAATAAATAAATAAATAAAGAAAGAAAGAAAGAAAGAAAGAAAGAAATTGATTTATGAGCCAGGCATGGTGGTGCATGCCTGTAATCCCAGCAGTAGTGAGGCTGAGGCAGGAAGACTGCTGAGAGTTTGATGGGCTACATAGTGAATTTAGAGCTAGCTTGAACTACATAACTAGACCTTGTCTTAAAAACAAGCAAAAAAAGATTTGATTTATGAAGGTAGCATAATAATGCTAAATGCATACTCACAAAATACATGAATCAGAAGCAAAACAAAGGGGAAAGACAATTACACAATTATAGTCTGAGTCCATCATTTTTCCCTCTGTAATCTATAGGGGAAGCAAAGTCAGCATGCAGCTGGGCATGGTGGCACATCCCTCAGGAGGCTGAGGCAGGAAGATCTCTGAGTCAGAGGCCAGCCTGGGCTACATAGCAAAATCCTGTCTCAAATGCATGTGTGTGGGGGCGTGTGCACACACATACACACACACACATCATCACCAACACCAGCAAAAAAGCAAGCCTCAAAGAAAATTAGAAAAATACTTCAAACAGAAAGGAAATAAAAAAAAATAACCTATCAAAAATTTTAGGATCCAACTAAAACATTATTTTGTGGGAAACATACAGCCTTAAATGCTCATATTGGAAAAGAAGGTCCCTCCAGGCACCTCAGAGATATGATGGGTTTGGTTCCAGACCGCTACAAAAAAGCAATTATTTCAATAAAATGAGTCACTCAAGCCAATGTGGGGTTTTTTCAATCCATATGAATGTTAGATTTTGCTATATTGTAGCCTATTAAAATGTGTACCATAGCATTGTGTCCAAAAAGTGCATACCTTAATTTTAAAACACTTTATTACTAAAAAATGTTCATGATCATCTCAACTGTTGGAAAACATGGCTCCCATAGACTTGCTCCATGCAGGGTTGCCGCCAGCTGTCAGTTTGTAAACACTACAATGGCTATGAGCACAATAAAACATAGCACTCCAAAATGAGGTTACACCCAGGGCTGAGGTTCTCATGTTCTACCTCAAGAAATTAGAAGAGAGCTAAATAAACTCAAAGCTCGCAAGCAATAAACGATAAGAGCAAAAATATCTGGAACAAAAGTAGAGAACCAATATGGAAGAATCAATAAAACCAAAAGCTGTTTACTTGGGGTGAGATTCATAAATTGATAAACCTCTAGTCAGATAAATAATCTTTTTTGTTTGTTTTGTTTTGTTTTTTCCAGTACTGGGAATCAAACTCACAACCTCACGCTTACCAGGCAAGTGCTAAATCCCCAGTCCCCTAAATAATCTTTAAAAAACAAAACAAAAACAAAAGCAAACAAAACCACAAAACAAGGGAAAGGGGGTTGACAGGTGTGGTGGGGGTCAGGAAACCAAGTTACCAACAATGGCTGCAAAGAAGGAGGCATCACCACCCTCCCTACAGAATAGAAAGGACAGTGCAGGAATACGGCAGAGGACTGTGTGCACACACATTTGGTAACTTACAGGAAACAGCCTAATTTCTTGAAAACAGAAGCTGCCAAAACACACTCAAAAATAAATACATAGCTGGGTGTTGTGGTGCCTGCCTGTTGTCCCAGCACTCTGGGAGCCTTGGGCCAGAGGGTCAAGTCCAAGCCCAGCCCGAACAACTTAGTGATACAGTGAGACCCTGCCTCAGGAAGAAAAGGGATGAGATGTAGCTCAGTGCGAAGGTCCTGGGTAATTCAGAAGAAGGAAGGAGGAAAAGGAAGAGGAGAAAGAAGGGAAAGAAGAGGTAGAAGAAGAGAAGGAGGGAAAGAGGAAGTGGAAACAGATACGCTGAATGGCTG